CATTAGGGGATACTATTGTCCGTTATTAAGACAAGTTCGAAGTTTATTATGATTATCTGTTTACTGAACCCGCTTCGAAAAACGGTGCGTGTATCTTAGACGAGTTAAGCGTTGGCCCGTGTCATAATCATCGCGTAAGCATTTTCCATTCGGAATTTCCCCACAGCGCACCGCTCCGCAACTGATTCTCATGGTGTGATGCACTACCAACACAGGATTCGGAAGCCATCCTCCTCCTGTGCCGGCCCGAAAATCACACGACCGATCGGGTTCATTTATCGATCGGTCGAATGGTTCAGCCGTAACAAGGGCCTGGTGCTTGCTCAGCTGACCCGAGCGAGAAAGCACACCTTTTTTATAGCTGTGAGTCTCAAACAGGCCCAGTGAACTTCGACTGTGTGGCAGGAGTGTCATCAACACTCGGATGGACTGATGGACAACAAGAGCATTAGAAAAAGTACAAGCCGGTAATCAGACGGTCTCGTTTCGGGTGAGAGATTTTAGGCGTCGCAGCTCGCGGAATATGATCCAATCAGATCGCGTCAGGGGTTAGGGGGAATTTACTTGCTTAAGGGTGAGAGGGACGAGACGCTCGACTACGATGAAGCAGTCATCCTGTAGTGTGTCAGTATGCATGGGTGTATGTGAGCGGTTGGTTGTGCAAGCGGCATCAAGTCAGTGAACTGATAGATTGGGCTCCGTCCGATCGATTCACGCAAAGTGGATCGCTGTCAATGAACAATGACTCAGATCACAAAGAGAAGTCTGAAAGTGGCAAAGACAGATTTTTTTCGGTATTTCTCATCAGGTCCAAACGGTACACAATCGAACATGAAGACACAATACACAGCGTGATAGTCCTTAGTGTAAGTACCGTTATTGTGATGCATGATGTGAGGGATTATGTCCGGAAGGACCAGTCAAGGATGAATCAAACTGGTGTGTCTGTTCCACAATCTGATTGGCCTTAGGCCAGAGCAGCAGTACGGTCTTGATAAATTGTTTTGGCGAACGCAGTATTGGTTGGTTTAGCCTGATCGCGGTTGCTTCGGCTGTGCACAGGATTCTGTGTCTCACCCCTTTTGATCGATTATATGCTACCCAGTAGATGACCTTGAATGTCTCCTTTCGTGTCAGTTCGTGACTTGTGTCGAGTGCGCAGGCTAGGATGGCATTAGCCGCAGTTGTATTAATCCCTTTTGATAGCCAAGCTGCACTCTTAATTGTTTTCACAAGATTCTCAGCCTAACCATTAGAACAGGGATGTCTTGGGGTTGTACCTAAATGTCGACAGTCAAAGCTATCGAGTCAAGCTTTAATTTCCCTGAAACTGAACTGAGATCCATTGTCTGTGACGAGCACTTGTGGTATACCTTCCCGACTGAAGCACTTCNGAAGAGCCTGGATCGCAAAGGATATTTTTGGTATACTTGTCAGAAATACTTCAGGCCACTTTGAGTATAAAATCAATGAGAACCAAGGTAACGTATCGATTCAGAAATGGACCGGAGAAGTCCGCATCTACGCTTTGCCATGTTGCATAATTTTCTGGCCATGGAGTTCAGTTTTTCGGTTTCACCTTCACTTTGTGCAGACACGCCTCGCAATTTTTCGCATTTGTGCGAATGTCTGCATCCAAATCAGACCACCAACACATCTGTCGTGTCAGTGATTTCATCTTCTCCATTACGAACGGCCTTTGTGGTGGTCCTCTAATACTGCTTTTCAGAGCGGCGGAAGTATGATCAGTCGATCACCGCGACAGAAAACACCGTCTGATTGTACAGCCAACTTCTCGCGATGAATATAGAACTGAGGATGTTTCTTCTTTATATCCAGAGGTCATCCTTTCGATAGGGCCGAAATAATCACAGAGTAGTATTGTTTTGTATACCTTCTCAATGCTTCCCTTGAAATCGGTGATGGTTGGGTGACAAAATTACATTTCTCTGCAGTCGAAAAGCGTGATTACCTTTATGATCCGCCACGATAATAAAGTGCAGTCCAAACAAATACTTGTGCGGTCACCCGGCAGCCCATAACACCACTAAGGCTTCTGTCTGGGTCTGCGAGTACCCCTTGTCCGCATGATTGAGCGATCGGGAAATACAAATCACAGGAAACGCTTCTTGTTCCAACACGGCAAAAACATTTGATACAATTCAAACAGGAAATCGTGAATACCATCCGGAATTCGACTGCCTACGAAAATTATTCATTATATCCAATAATAAGATTCCGTGCTACGAACTATGTGCGGGATGCGATTCACTGAACCCGCGAGCCGGCTTTGGTGAGAACCCGCCCTCACACACNACACACACACACACACACACACACACACACACACACACACACACACACAAGCATGGACAACTTCAATCAGTCATGTGACACTACTAATACGGACATTCATCATGTCGTTTTCGCAGGGTACCAAACTGTTTTGTCTATTACTAAATAATGATCATGGACAGCCAGAACGGAAGAAAGGATGTTGACTAGACAGCTACTAACAACAAAATTCCACACTTGGTCCTGCATACAAAACCATGAACTGGTGTCTCGAATTGGTGCTAGCTCCAAATTACACACTGAACGAATGAGTGGGCGAATGAGCGCTATCGTAAATACAGACAGGCGTAAACACGCGCGTAATTGCTCCGCACACCAGTTACCTACTTGATGACACCCACGCACACTGCTATTCCAGATAATTACTTCCG